GGAAGGGAAGGGAAGGGAAGGGAAGGGAAGGGAAGGGAGGGAAGTTGTGTTTGCCCATCCCTGGCAGGGACCATGGGCAGGTTCTGCAGGGTCTGGAGCACCCAGGGGTGCAGGAGGTGTCCCTGCCTGTGGGTACAAGGGGGATTTAAGGTCAGGCTGTTCTGGGGCTGAGCCTCCATCCAGGCTTGGCTTTCCCTTATTCCTGCACTCTGCTGAGCCTGCCTGTGCTCAGCATTCCCTGGGGTCCCTGTGTGCTCCTCCAGTGTCAGCTCCACGGAAATCCAGCAGCCAGATCCCATTTCTCTGCTTCCCTTCCCTCCACGGCAGTTTCCTCTCTGCTGCTCTGGTGATTTATCCCTGCCCCAGCGAGCTCTGTCCCTCCTCACTGCGTTTTTCACATCTCTCCTCAATGCCAGGGCCTCATTTTTCAAGCTAACACCTTTTTTTTTTTTTTTTTTTTGCGAGGTGGAGATGATTTAAATCTTTTTCCTGACCTGGTCCTGGTGCTGGTGGGAGGCACAAGGGGAAGTTTTGGGATGTGGGGAGGGCACTGAGCAGAGCCAGGCCCCAAATCTGCCGAACAACACACCTGAAAGAAGCCCAAGTCTTGGGAGAAAAACCCCAAAATATCTGCTCCAAACCCTGGAATTCTCCCCCAGGCTCCTGTGCAGGGCTGGGTGGGAAAGCAGCTTCCAGGGCAGTGAGAAGGAGCTGCTTTAAAGGAAGGGAAAGGTTCTGGTTAATCCTGCTCAGATGGGAGAGCAGCCAGGGGAGGCTGGGAAATGGGTTCATGGATTTGCAGGCCAGAAGGAGCTTTTATCCCACGAGTTCCAATTCCATGACCTGGATTTCTGGGGGGCTGTGCTTGGCCGTGGTCCTGCTGCCCCTGGTGTGTGCAGGGAGGAGGGGTCACCTGGAATTGCTGCTTTGGGATGGCCAAGGGTCCTGCAGCCCCCCTGTCACAGCCAGGGTGGCCCCTGTGCTCTGTGGGAGCACAAAACCCATGGAAAGCTCTGAATTTCCCAGCTCTGCACTGGGTGACATTGCCCCTTTTTTTGTGCTCCAGGTCAGGGGGGATCCGTGCTGGGATGCTCTGCAGTGCAGGAGCTCTTTCCTTCCTCAGCATCCTGGGTGTCCTGTCCCTGTCCCTGTCCCTGTCCCCTGCCAGGTCTGCTCCCCCTGTCCCTGCAGTTCCAGCTGGTCCTGGAGTGCCCAGTGGGAGCTGGGCAGGGATGGCACAGCTGGGCTCTGTGCTGGCACATCCGAGTGAGGGACCCTCCTGATGGCACATCCAGGGGATGGGGGCTGGATCCAGAGTTTGGGGGGTGGATCCAGAGTTTAGGGGGTGGATCCAGGCTTTGGGGGGTGGATCCAGGGGATGGATCCAGGGTTTGGGGGGTGGATCCAGAGTTTATGGGATGGATCCAGGCTTTGGGGGATGGATCCAGGCTTTGGGGGATGGATCCAGGCTTTAGGGGATGGATCCAGGGATGGATCCAGGCTTTGGGGGATGGATCCAGAGTTTATGGGATGGATCCAGGCTTTGGGGGATGGATCCAGGGGATGGATCCAGGCTTTGGGGGGTGGATCCAGGCTTTGGGGGTGGATCTGGTGCCTGTCGGCTCGAGGGCAGCTCGGGAGGCCTCGGGTGTGGAGCAGGAGAGGATCAGAGCATCATGGAAGGGTCTGGGTGGGAAGGGAGCACAAAAGCCACCCAGTGCCCCCAGCACGGGCAGGGACACCTTGCCCTGCCTGAGGAGCAGCTTCCCCTGGATGTCCCCTCCTGTGTCCCAGGGACGCCACCCCTTGTCACCAGAGGCCATTTGAAGGGGACAATGGGACAAATGTCACCTGTGCCCCCCACAGCCGTGTCCTGTGTCCCCTGCTCCTGCCCTGCTGCAGGTGCTGCCCTTTCACTGAGTATTCTGTGTGAAAATTCCCATTTTCACATGATAATGAATCTTTCCCCTCTCTCCCCACCTTTCTCTTTTGCCAACGTCTCCAGGAAGAAGAGCAAAAGCAGGCAGTAAGTTGACTTCACCTTGTAGGTGATCTGACTTTTTTATTTTTATTTTCCTTCCTGCATGAAATCCGTTTTCTGTTAATTGGCTGGTGTGCAAATAAACCCTGGGAATGGGGGGTTTTCTTTCTGCTGGGGAGATGGAGCTCAGCCTCCCTCAGTCCCAGCAGAGCATGGCCTGTGTGTCCCAGAGTTCTTCCCTTCCCAGGGAACTTCATTGCCAGGGGCTGAGGAGGTTTTTGTGGAATCAAATCAATCCCTGCCCATGGGAATGGGGATTCTCAGCTGGGCTCGGCCCTGATTTCTGGGGGACATCCCTGGGAGGGTTTCACGTGCTCAGAAACCTTTCTTGTCTCTTCAGGAATCCTTTCATTTCCCTCCTTGCCACGTGCAAGTCCGTGCATGAAAACGAATTGTTATAAATGAGAGACAAAAGTCTCGATATTCAGCAAAATTTAGATTGCTTTATTTGATATAGAAAGAGCAATCAGGGCTGGGGAACGCGAGGGGTCACCGCCCACTCCACGCTCCACCCAACCTTGGTTTGCAGCCTCTTCTTATACTGTGGGTTCTCGTTGTTCACAAATTCACAAAGCCTTTGGGTGATAATCAGTCACAGCCACCCGGTCCTTGGAGATGACCACCAGGGAAGTTCTGGGAGTCTGGTTTTTGGGATAGGCAGAAAGGCAGGAAGGGCTTTTTGGGAAGTCCGATTTTGCAAGCTGGTAGCCGATACAACTTATTTGGAAAACATAACAGAATATAATGTAACATAATACAACATAATAGAACATAACAAGGTGATTTTACACAGAATTATTTAATCATATAATCTCCTTTATCTAGTGTCCACGCTTCACTTCAGAGCTCAGTATTCTGGTTTATGCAAACCCCAAAGCTTTTGTGATTAACACCAATCTTTTATCAATCGTCACACAATGACCGTTTCCATGCTGTGGGCACGGCCGCCCATCCCCGGGGCTCCTGGGGCGGTCCCGGCTGTTCCTGCAGCCCGGCTGGAGCGGGGCTGGGCTGGGAACAGAGCGGGGAAGGGAACAGGGCAGGGCAGGGCTGGGCTGGGCTGGGCAGAGCTGGGCTGGGCTGGG